ACTCATCCACCCACGCGAACATGTTTATTCCAACTACCTATTGCATTAAACAGAATCGCCAGATATAACCGTGATGTTTAACCTCTAATCCAGACAAGCATGTTGATGCACAGCCCATTTGTATTAATCAACTGCTTGATAAAGGCCCCCCTATGTCTTGTAGGTCATTGGGGTCAAATGACAATACTTAAATTATTTGTTATAACCCGAGAATGACGTCGTAGGTCACTTGATGTCAGAGATACCGCCCATGTGGCTGTGACATCACAGATAAGAGACGTCTATGGCAGCAGCTCGGGTCTGAACTAAAAGGCAGACTCCTCCCCCGTGTTGGATAACATTCAATACATGCAATGCAGGGCACAATTATGCAGGCAATCAGAACACAATCATTATAGACATGTTAATCATATTATATGAGATTTAAACAGGTTAGTTATGAACGTTTTAAATGTTGACTTGCTTTGGGTCTAAACAATGACAGTAACAGTAACATATCAGAGCATGCCAAGTAACCTAATAGTCCTAATTTGGTTGCAGAAAATCAAAATTCCAACATATTCAAAAATAATGAAGCTTTAGTTTGTAGTCAAAACGTGCAGTAAAAATAAACAACACACATCGTCAACAGGGACGCTCACCTCGTTGACGATTCGCTCTGCAAAGGCTTCTTCTGCTGCTGCTCACTCGTGCGCATTCCACTCGACTGCGGGTGGAGGCGTGGCTATGACGTAACAGAGGTGACGTCACTACAGCGAGGCTCCGCCCCCACGCGCTTGGCGGGCACACCACGTGGTGCAGTGCGGGTGGTGTGCGTCACCGGAAACAGCAGAGCCCTCTGTTCGACATTAAACATTTGCCCCCTCGGTTTGTGCTGTCTTTGATGTCGCCGTTACTGCGGCGAGGACTGAAGCGATGCCTGGCCATTAGGCCTGGCATATACCTAGGCCTCAGGCTTCATATTTGTTCGTAGTTATTTTTTGTTTAATTGGAATTATTAACTTGCATTTCATTCATTACATTTCAAGTGTATAAACACCATCCCATTAGTTTATTTACTTTTAAATTCAGGTTTGTATTATAGTTATTGATCTGTAGTTATATTTAAGTGAGTGAGGTGGTTGTACTAAGTGTGAATTTGAGTTCCATGTAAATTATTATTGTGTAAAGGATTTGTCTGTGTGCACCTATCCTGGCAGTGGTAATATGGGCTTTTTATAATTAAGTTGTTAATGAGATTGTTTATTTGTGTGTGTCTGTTATCTATGTCTGTGTCAGGTTACATATCTATGTTTGTAGCTGTTTGTGTTTGTTAATTTATGATGGGTGGTGATGATGTTTCTTGATAATGGATGGTGGTGATGATGATGGGTGGTGATTATGAAGGGTGGTGATTATGAAGGGTGGTAATGATGATGGTCGGTGATGATAACGTGTAGTGATTATGATGGGTGGTAATGATCATGGGTGGTGGTAATGATTGGTGAGGTTATGATGATGGGTGGTGATGGTTATGGGTGGTGATGATGATGGGTTGTTGTGATTATGGGTGTTGATGATGATGGATGATTGGTGGTGGTTATGATGAATGTTGGTTGTGATGGTTGGGTGGTGGTGATGACGATGGTTGGTGATGGTGAGTTGATAGTGATAATGATGATTGGTGATGATAATGGATATTGATGCTGATGATTATGGGTGGTGATGAGTAAATGAGCCACCACCCAATACATAACAGCAACAGAAGTAACTACAGCAGCAACAATAACAGCAGAAACATCACATTTTAATGGCTACGCAACTACTTCTGATTCTGCTGTTTCTGCTGCTCGGCTATTTGTAGCCAGGCCCTGCTCTCGCGGGACCCCACACATCTTTGGAAATGAATGCGATGATCATGTCTGAGCTGAGAATTAAGTGACTAAACGTTACTTTGTTTAACAATAACTGTGTGTAGGTTAGTATCTAGGGGCTCAGCGAATACTATTCATGAAAGAACTCGCACTCCTTTATGATCGACATTCTACTAATTTTGGTTGATCGAGACGAACAAGGCACGTGCCATGTCCAGACGAACTTTTATTTCCAATATTGTCCTTAAATATGATGCTAAAATAAACGTTAACACTGGAAAAAAACATGCACCTCTTAACCTCTGCCTCGCATTTATGACTAACAATTTGCATTTACACTTAACATACAGTCAAGCACAGTAAAATGCGAATACGACAATATTGTTATTCTCGGAATTTGAATTCGATTCTAACCCTGCACCCCACCCCAGTTTGCATATCCAACCCCCGGTTCGATGGAACGTTCGCTTTACATACATTTGAGCAGAGTGCTATTATAATACTTCTAATGAGATTTGAATACCGTACCTCAGTTTATGGTGTAATGAATTAGGAAACCAGTTTATAGTCGTTTAATGTTGAGTGTTATCGTTTATAGTGATACAGCTGAAGTCATAGAGGTGAAACGGCTGCAGTGTGTAACGAATACAGATAGGGCGTTGCAGTTGGTTCGTCCACCCATCGCGCCTCAAGACTTATGTCCGTCCCCACCCAGACAGCTCATCCCCATGTCCTGTACAGCCCAAGTCTGGTGTGTCCGACGTGGTGGGGCTCTCGGCAACGGAAACCGTACTCCAAAGGAAATGTGTTGTGCCGCTCACAGTTTCCGAGCCCCAGAGGCCCGGGGTGCCTCAAGGATCCGCCACTGGTGAGGGATCGGTGCCTGAAAGGCACAATATTCCATGATGGGCGAGGGACTGGCGTCGAGAACCCGGTCAAAATGCTCAAGGTTGTGTTAGTAGGCTCCACTCCCAACCCAGGAACGATGGGAAGGGTTCATACATACATATTACATTCATGCATATTACATACTGACATGTTACATACTCACGAGCATAGTGTGATTCTTAGAGGACCACGGTGTGAAGCTAAGAATTCGAATGAGATTCGAATATCACACTTCAATGTACGGTGTTCTAATCTGTAACACTAGTTAATGATGTTATTTTATAGCGTTATAATGTATCGCACATAGCTTATATTGTTAGAGTTCACAATATTATAGTTTACTATAACACTAGTTTGTAGTGTTATTTTAAAGCGTTACAATGTATAGCTCATAGTTTAAAGGTTATATTGTTAGAGTTTATAATGTTAGAGTATACAATGTCAGTTTACAATTTGAGAGTTTGTGGACGTGCCCTGTTCTCGTGGGACCCGACACGGATTTGGAAATAATTGCTATGATCATGTCTGAGCTGGGATGAGCGACTAATGTTTACTTTGTTTAATCATAACTGTGTGTAGGTGAGTGCCATCGGGGCTTAGTGAATACTACTCATGAATGAACTCATACTTCTTTCGGATAGAAATTTGAAATCGTGTTGGTAGAACAAGTCGCTTTCCTTTTCTAGACGAATTGTTATCTTCAAGTGCGTCCGTAAATAAACTGCTAAAATACACAACATAGGGAGGCAGCCTTGTTGGGGAGATGTAGTTTGGCTAAGGCGCTGTGGCCGGGTGATGACACGGATTCTGAAACAATGGAGTTAAACACTCGCTGCTTGGCCCCGTCGACAGCAGCGAAGGCTGTCATATACCGCCCCATTTACGAGTTGGCTGTATGATGTGTATAGTTGAAGGTGCTAGGTGTTGTCTTCTTCTAACAGCTACTAACGTGCGTGTGTTGTCTGTTTTTACGATTTGTCCATTGATGTTGTTTTTTTTATTGCGGCGTTTTTTTGTTAAGTTCTGTCACTTGAGTGTTGCAGTTTGTTTAAGAATTCGTCACGTGAGCGTGGTGTTTTACTTGTGGGAATTTCGCTTTGTCACAATTTGTGATTGTTATAATAATTGTAAAGATTCATAATCTCATGAGTTTTTAATGTGTTTGTGTGTGATTCTTAAACGACCACACTGTGATTCTAATGCTTCTAATGATATTATAATACCTTACCTCCGTTTAAATGGTTATAAATTAAAACACTAGTTTATAATCGTTTAATGTTCAGTGTTATCGTTCATAGTATTACAGTTTACATGTCATAGAGTACAGTTTATCCCCGACATACTTCGGAATTAGAGACTGGTACGTTGATGAACGATTAACTACGGGGACCTTTCCCCTCAATGAACACGTGTTAATCGTGTAGACAGCTAAGATGCTGCGGGTTAAGGGCACACTTGTGTGACGGAGATCCTCCACCTGGAATTCTCTTAACAGGTTTTTGCTAGGAACATTATAAAATAAAGACCGGACAAACATTTGTTAAAGATACGTTTTTATTCATCTGCAATCATTTTTACGTCAAAACTCGAAGGGAATATTTATTAAGTCCTATGTTCACACATTTCCAGTACAATGCAAACCATTTCCGTTCCAGGAATACCAAAACGTTAAAGTATCATTCCCCATGATTTCCTTATTAATTTACCACATTTGTTCACTGTGAGTCCATGTTGAAGTCAAGGCCATATATCCAACGATCGCGTTATCAATGTACATCCTGATATCGGCTATCTAAAGTCGATTAATACCAATCAAAAAAAGCTATATACTTGACAAAAATCGTTTAAAATGTTGAGTAAAGATGTACCTAAAGACGCATTTCAACTTTAGCTCAACAGGAACACTTAACGACTACAATTGAACCCTCTCACAACCAGTGCTCATCACACCACTTCGGCAAGTAATCCGATAACATTACAAACCACCACTGGGCACGTCATTAAACTCTCACAAAAACTGTAAAATTAAAATGTTCAAAATTACACACTAAAGAACTCGATATGGCTTAATAGGTATAGCCACATGACATAATATTTTTTCAGTCACCCCGAACTCTCTGGTTGACCCTCGAGCCACTCCATTACATCCAGCCATCTCTCGGGATCCAACTGCATGGGATCGAAGGTGGAAACTTCTTCAGGACTCATTGCAGCATCTTGAATTTCAGCTTTTGATTTCAGTTTCCTATCATTGTGGACCTTCTGATGCCTGTTCATGGTTGATGACCGTGCAAATGCCTTCCCACACACAGGGCACAGGAATGGCTTCTCGCCCGTGTGTGTTCTCTGATGACTATGAAGAGTTGATGAGTCTGCAAATGCCTTCCCACACACAGGGCACAGGAATGGCTTCTCGCCCGTGTGTGTTCTCTGATGACTATGAAGATTTGATGACTTTGCAAATGTCTTCCCACACACAGGGCACAGGAATGGCTTCTCGCCCGTGTGTGTTCTCTGATGACTATGAAGATGTGATGACTTTGCAAATGTCATCCCACACACAGGGCACGGGAATGGCTTCTCGCCCGTGTGCATTCTCTGATGAGTTTGAAGAGTTGATGACCGTGCAAATGCCTTCCCACACACAGGACACAGGAATGGCTTCTCGCCCGTGTGCGTTCTCTGATGAGTTTGAAGAGTTGATGACCGTGCAAATGCCTTCCCACACACAGGGCACAGGAATGGCTTCTCGCCCGTGTGCGTTCTCTGATGAGTTTGAAGAGTTGACGATTGTGCAAATGCCTTCCCACACACAGAGCAATTGAATGGCTTCTTGTCTCCGTGTGCGTGGGGCTGTGGAGAGCGTCTCTGCTCCATGTGAGCTTAGTAACAGCAGCGGTGTTATCGAGTCAAAAGTACGCTGTCGGCCGCAAGGATGTTTAGCGTTGAGTTTTGGATTTCGTTAACTGCTAAAACAAGAACGACACTCGCGTCGAACCGAGACGCAAAAAAATCCCGCTAATTTGACGACGAACACGTTTAAGAGTTTATCCGCGAAAATAGACACTTACTTGGAGATTCACGGTATATCGATGTCTGGAACCCGTCTGAAGATGTCGCCACGAACTCTCCCGACGCAAAGTCGCCTAACTGTCGACACAGCAATTGTGCTCGCCAGGCTGCGTTGTCTCGCGGTTGAAGGGCGATCAGCAGAGCGACGAGTCGAGCGTCCAACCTCATCAAGTTCCCTCTCGAAATGGCATTGAGCTCTGCTTCTGAGCCGCCTTATAACTCCCCCCCTAGGATCCAATCCTTTGTCTTTCAGGATATTTGCATTCGATTGTTAATTTTTGAAGGCACAATCCGCATGTCTTTTAACATACCGAAGGGTAATGTGCCCATTGTGCTTCATGCATGAATATGTAAGTGCATCTCGGTGTGTAATTATGCGCTTATTTTGAATAAATGGAAAAACTTTGTCCTCGGTTTAAAGTGAATGCAGAGAAATTAGCATGTAACTTTAGAAAAGGAAGAGAGCGGCCTTCTCGACGAGGGAGTGAAACCCAGTAGGTAATATTATTTTACAGCGTTACAATGGATAGGTTGTAGTTCATAGGTTATATTATGTTTCACTATGAAAGAGCTTAACATGTGAGAGTATACAATATCACAGTTGATCAAATGCGACGATCAAGGGCGTCAATCGGGTGAGTTTGATCAGAGGCTTTAATCAAAGGCGTCATCCCATCACGTAACACCACCTTCCTGCGTATATAACAGCAACAGAAGCAACTACAGCAGCAACAACAGTAGCGACAACAACAGCAGCAACATCACATTTCGAGGGCGACGCAGCTACTTCCGATTCTGCTGCCCAGCTGTTTGCAGTCGGGACCTGCTCTCGCAGGACCCCACACGTCTTTGGAAATGATTGCGATGATCATGTCTGAGCTGAGAATTAAGTCACTCAAGATTACTTTGTTTAACCATAACTTTAGGTAGGTTAGTGTCATGAGGGCTGTGTGAATACTACTCATGAATGAAATCACACTCCTGTATGACCAACATTGTACTAATTTTGGTTGATCGAGTAGAACAAGGCACGTGCCACGTCCAGACAAATTCTTCTCAACAACAGTGTCCTTTAATATGATGCTAAAATAAATGTTAACACTGGATTAAACGTGCACCTCGTAACCCCTCCCTCGCATTTACGACAAATGATGTGCATTTGCACATAACATACATTCAAGCACAATAAAATGATAATACGACCATGTCCTGGACACCATGGCAAGGTCATCCCATGAGGACTGCCTGGATGAAAACCAGCATGGAAGGGGCCCATTGTGGGGCCGGCTATGCTAATGACATAGTCCCGTGTGTGTGTGATGTGAGGTCTCCTGGCAGCAGTCATTCTCCGCTGTAGTCCTGGCATCTGCTGCTCAGCTTCATTCCCCAGCTGTGGTCCCAGTGGCACCGTCTCTCTGGGGAACCGTGTGGTGTGTGTAGCGAGTATCACGGGGTGGGCGGGTAGTGTGGTGATAGTGGTCACGGTTGGCACCGATGCACGACCACCGCCACCACCCCTACTGGGCGGTGGACCTGCCACCACAAAGCAGCACGCGGCGGAGGAGTGAGGCGATCGCTCTCGCCACGCGAGCGAGGCCCCCTCGCTTCCTCTTCTTTTCGTGCATCTCCACCTGCACCTCTTCCGTTTTCTCCTCCGTCTCATCCTCCTCCATCCCCTCTTCTTCATCCTCCACCACCATCTTCTCCTCTACCTCCTCTTCCTGCGCCACCTCCATCTTCTCCATCTTCTTCTCCTCCGCTAGCACCATCTCTTCCTCCTTCATCTCCTCCTCACCTTCCGGCACCACCATCTCCACCACCGTCTTCTCTTCCTCCTCTACCACCATTGTTTCCCCTTTGTCCGTCGTCTCCATGTCCTCCACCACGACCATCTGTTCATCCTTTGTTGTCTCCTTGTCCTCCATCTCTGTATTGTCTTTCTCCTCTCCCTCCGTGTTCTCCTCCATTGTCACCATCACAATCTCGTCCTCCTTTGCCTTCTCTTCCTCCGATTTCTCCTCCTCTGTCTCTACCTCATCCTCCATCATCTCCTCCTTCACCTCTTGCTTCGTCTGCTTCCCCACAAACTCTGTCTTCGCTCCAAAGGCCTGGATGAGTGAGGAGGAGGGCTGCGCTGGCTCAGATCTGTGAAGCGACAACACGACACCGTTCTAGATTTGAAGCTTTCGTGACTGCAATGATTCATATTCTTAGGTTTTTTCGGTAAAGTCACGTAGGTAAAAAACATTAAAAAGTAAAATAAAATAAAAATCACGACGTTTCGGAGGCAACACAAGCTTCCGTCTTAAGGTGGTACCGTCACAGCCACGACAGCTGTATCAAGTAAATGAGAGATTGCAGAAGCTACCACTCCGTTTATATAATGGTTGGAGAAGGTGGTGGGGCAAGGGCCACATACTTTTATTAATATGGTAAGGTGAGGCTTAAGACTAAGAATAGACTGCATAACAAAGACTGAGCCTTTGTTATAGAGAGGTGCGGTTTGTGACTCAACCTGTAACAGGGAGACCACCACTAGACATGGTAAAACTGTGATGGTTGTCTGTCAAACACGACACCGTTCCACCTTGCTGCTATGGCAGACATCGCCATCTAATAATAATAGTACAATTTGTAACGCGCGCAAGACGTAGTGGCCGCAACTCAGAGGCGCGGAGCCAAGCTCAGAGTCGCTCAAAAGCATGATTGTAGAGGTGAGTTTTTAAGTGTCTCTTGAAGGAGGTGATTGAGGTGATGCTGCGAATGTGCAGAGGGATATCGTTCCAGACTGTTGGGGCTGCCACCGAGAAGCGGCGCATAGACACGATGACCATCCTGGATCTTGGTATCGAGAGGAGGTCGTGAGTCGCGCTGCGCAGGCATCTGCCGTGTGCTGAGCTGCAAGTTGTCAATAATGAAGAAAGGTACGGCGGGCAGGCGGATATGAAGGCATCGTCCGTGGGTGGAATGTGTGGCGGATTAATTCGAGCTGAATAGAAACAGCAATAACGACATTGCTAGTGAGTGTGCTTAGTATTGGTGCTGTCATTCTCATGGCGCCAGGCTATCCTTGGGATAGGTGCAGCTGTGTCCCACACAGACTGCTGTAGTTTCACAGTAGTGGGTGGCGTTGCTGTGCAAATTTAGCTGAATAATTTGGTTCTTTCGGTAATTCACGTAGGTATAAAATAAAATAAATTAAATCACAACGTTTAGATTGTAACACAAGCAATCATCATAAGGTGGGAAACCCACAGCAATACATTTTCTTGCAATAAAGACATGGTCCATCGAAACGTCGTGATTTAATTAAATTTATTTTATTTCATACCTACGTGAATTTACCGATATAACCAAAGAGTATGGATCCCTGTAGTCACGAAAAAAATCTAGATTGAAACTTTCTATATGTATATTCTAATTGACCCCTTGCACATAATGTCCTAAGCATTTCAAATGGCATCGATAGAGATCCTGAACGTCCACTGTGACGGAATGGGTGTGTATCTGTGTGGTCAATGCAGCAGCAATAATAGCCAAGGCGGGAAGCAAGATCTGAACTGTAATGGTGAAGAATGAGTGCACGGCCATTTGGTCGCTTCAACACATCCACGATTTTAAAAAAGTATCCGTCAGTGATTCGTGGTCGAGAGAGCCACCTCCCTGGACGTCGAAGGCATCTCAGAGTGCATTGCATGCGATGAGCCTCTCGCATCTCTCATCTCATCGCGTTTTAAATTGGACACCCCTCTCAGTGGTAGCTGTCGCTGTGCATTACAAAGCGACTTGGCAACTGGCCTGGAAACAGGCGATAGACAGCGAAAATCTCACGGTGGATGGAGGGTTACATGGTGAAGATATGCCCACTTTGTTATGTGGTCTAACTCAGAAACCAGTTACGAAAAATAAATCTGTCCACAGTATAGCGGAATGTACACGTGGAGTTTGCAGTGTCAGTGAATTTTGAGAGCGTGACAGGGCTTGAGCACCTGTGCATCACAGCGACATTGACCTGGGTTTGATTTCCACGTTTGGCCACATTCTCCGTGTGGATTATGCAGCCAGCTGTTCAGGGAAAGTTATGCAGCTTTCTCCCTGTTACTGAACCCACACAAGCAATGCAAATCGTTCAATTTGGATCGCAAACTGTAGCAACTTTCTTGCAAAATGCGAGCAAACTTGGCAGAATCCTCCTGAAAAAAAGTCTTGAGACCGAGTAAGGCTGATGCTGCGTGAGAAGCATGGTAATACATAACAAAAATAAACACACAGGGCGCACACGCAGAGTGCTTTACCGTGGCTCAATGACTCCGGAGTTTGCTTTATCTTCTTGGAAGCCCTCTTCTCCAAAGCTCGGAGCGATTGGGCCCCACACAGGATTGGAGGACGTGGTGGCGGTGGCGGCGGTGGCGATGTCAGTAGTAGTGGTGCTGCTGCTGGTGGTATCGGTCTGGAGCCATTGTCGCTCGATCTTGGCGAGGCGCTCCTCCTCCTCGAGGCGCTTTTGCTCCACAAGACGCTTCTCCTCCATCAAGTGCTCCTCCTCCTCTTGACGCTTCACCTCAACGAGGCGCTTCTCCTGCATGAGACGTTTCTCCTCGAGGAGCTTCACCTTGCGAAAGCGCCTCTCCTCAAGTCGCTTATTTTTTTTCTCAAGACGCTTCAGCTCTATGAGACGCTTCACCTCAAAGAGGCGATTCTCCTCCATGAGGCGCTTCTCTTCCTCGACTCGCTGCACCTCAATGAGGTGCTGCTTC